TGAGATCATACAGTGTTTGTCTTTCTCTAACTTATTTCACTTAGCATAATACCCTCAAGATCCATCTGTGTTATTGCAGATGGCAAGATTTCCTTCTTTTTTATGGCTGAATAATATTCCATTGTGTATAAATATACATACTGCATCTTCTTTATCCATTTATGCATCAGTGGACACTTAGGTTGCTTCCGTGTCTTGGCTATTGTAATTAATGCTGCTGTGAACATGGTAGTGCAGATATCTTTCCGATTTAGTGTTTTCATTTTTTTAGGATAAATACCCAGAACTGGAATTACTGGGTCATACAGTAGTTCTATTTATAATTTTTTTAAGAACCTCCATACTCTTTTCCATGATGGCTGTACCAATTTACATTCCCACCAACAGTGCACAAGGGCTCCCTTTTCTCCACATCCTTGCTAATACATATTATTTCTTATCTTTTTGATAGCCATTCTAATAGATGTGAGGTGATATCTCACTGTGGTTTTGATTTGCATCTCCCTGATGATTAGTGATGTAAAGCTCCTTTTCATGTACCTTTTGTCTTTGTAAAAACATCTATTCCAATCCTCTGCCTATTTTTTAATTAGATTGTCTGTTTTTGCTATTGAGTTGTGTTTATATATTTTGGATATTAACCCCTTACCAGATATACTGTTTGCAAGTATTTTCTCCCATTTGGTAGGTTGCCTTTTCATTTTGTTGATGGTTTCTTTTGCTTGGCAGAAACTTTTCAGTTTGATGTAGTCTCACTTATTTTTGCTTTTGCTGCCTTTGCTTCTGGTGTCAAATCTAAAAAATCACCTCTAAATCTGAAGTCAGATAAAACTGTGAGTTGCTTAAAATGTACATCCTGGTGATTTGATACATATACACTGTGAAAGGATTCCCCCCATCTAGTTAATTAATACATCACCTCCAGGCCAGCCAAACTTTTTGAAGGTGTTGTCCATACTGGCTCTGTACTGATGATCCCACTAACACATACCAGTACTTTTTTCAAGTTTGTGTATTTCTTTGAATAAAAAAAAAGTATTTCTATTGTTTGCACTAAATTATGACTGGATTATGAACAGTGGCTCTGACTGGGATCTATTCATTATTACCTTAATAGATGTGATCTTTGAACTTAGTAATTTACCAATGCTAGTTCTGCTCTGTCAATTTTCTCCAAGGATCCCTTGATATTCAAGTTGATTTCTCTTGCCCTCATTACTTCATTTTGATGTTGTAATGACTGAAATAGGTTATTTCTTAAAAGAAGGATCTACTATTGTTTGTCAGAGACATTAACTAGGTACCAGTCTAGCAAGTGAGGAAAATCATAAGAGATATCACTTACTAAATATATGTGACAATGAGTTTAGTGGCTAAAAAAACAGTTTCTGAGAAATAAAAATACATAGGATTAGTATTTTGATTTCCTTTTTTTAATGAAAATGCTTCTTACAAAACATTTCATCCCTAATTAGTCTTAAGAGATATGGAAAATCAAACTTCTAGGTTTTAATCCTGGATTTGCTACTCATTTGTCGTATAACCAGTTATTTAACTTGGGACTCTGATTTCTCACCTGAGAAGGGGGATAACTGGCCCACATTTTGATTGTTATACAGCTCAAATGAAATAATATATTACTTATTACTGAAGTACAAGAGTTGCAAATGAAATGCAAATATATAATTTTCATTATTATTAGCACTCAGTGATGTAGCAGTGTTTGGCTCATGATAATTGCTCAAAAGTCACAGCCATTATAACTATAATAACTGACCAAAGAAGCAATAGCCTGGCTCAGAAATTAACAATCAACCCTCCAAAACATCAAATGCAATAAATTCTAGTTCCAGGGATGAAGGATTCCTCAACTGTATGTGTTCAGGCTTTCTAAGAGTCAAACTTCTTTTTCTGTGGAAGAACCTGTAGCACCAGAATTCATCATAGATAGAGCAGTTCATGTTTAGACAGGGATAAATCCCACCTTACCCCACCACCTACTTTAATATATTGATATTTTCAATTATGAAATGGTTGGAAGTTTTCTTTCAAAAGGAGAGAGGCGTGCCTTTACTTTTCCCATCTATCATTGAACCAGGAAAGGAAGGTAACAACTCTTGGAGACCTATTCAGAGCTAAAATATAAACTACGGAAAAATCCATTCAAAAATCCTGTGCCTGTGTTAGTACTCAAATATCTGAATGTGTGTGTCTGTGTTTATACATGTGAATGCAGGCTTACCAAGGATAGCAGATACTGACTAGATCAAAGCAGTTATTTCTAAAACAACAAAATCCAGCAAAAACTAACACTTAGGAGCATATTCACCAGTTGCCTGACAATCTAAAGGTGGGTACTGATGGGGATCTGCCCAGGTGGAAGACAGCAGGGGAGCAAAGGGGGCCTTTTGCCCACTGGAACATAAAACCAAAGATATCTGGTCTAATACTAAAATATAGGCGTAACTTGGAGATATTGTGGGTTCGGTTCCAGACCACCTCAATAAAGAAAATAATGCAATAAAACGAGTCACATGAATTTTTTTTTTTTTGGTTTCGCAGTGCATATGAAAGTCATGTTTACACTATACTGTAGTCTATTAAGTGCACAATAGCATTATTTCTAAAAGAAACAATATACAGGGCTTCCCTGGTGGCACAGTGGTTGGGAGTCCGCTTGCTGATGCAGGGGACGGGGGTTCGTGCTCCGGTCCGGGAGGATCCCACATACCGCGGAGCGGCTGGGCCCGTGAGCCATGGCCGCTGAGCCTGCGCGTCCGGAGCCTGTGCTCCGCAACGGGAGAGGCCACAACAGTGAGAGGCCCACGTACCGCAAAAAAAAAAAAAAAAAAAGGAAACTGAGGACTTCCCTGGTGGCATAGTGGATGAGACTCTGTGCTCCCAGTGCAGGGGGCCTGGGTTCGATCCCTGGTCAGGGAACTAGATCCCACATGCATGCCGCAACTAAGAGTTCACATGCCACAACTAAGGAGCCCACATGCTGCAACCGAGGAGCCCGTGAGCCACAGCTAAGGAGCCCGCCTGCCACAACTAAGAACCGGCGCAACCAAATAAATATTAAAAAAAAAAAGAAAAGGAAACTGCCTCCTACTATCAAAACTCATTGACACCACCTCGTTGTCTTGTCTACTATATGGCCTCATGACCTCCATTCTTGCTCCTCTTCCCCTCACTCTACAAAATATCCAGTCTCTGGATATCCAGTCACTGTTGTTGAAGTCTTTTCCAAATGACATACTGTTGTTGCTTTGTTTAAGATTCTTTAATTTCTCTCCATGACCATGAGAAATTTTTTAGCTTGGCACAAGAAGTCCTTCATGACCTGGCCATGCTCTAACCTCACCTTTCGCTTTTATACTTTATAATCCAACAATGTCAAGTACTTAGCTTTGACATTGTTGTCAGGTACTTTGACATTACTTGTAGCTGGCTGTATACATCATGTAATTTCATTATTCCATTTCTTTGCACAAATTATACCTTCTGCCTCCTATCTTTTAACCCAATAACTGAATATAGAAAATCATTATAAAAATTAACTAAAATAATTGAAAACTTCATACATAAGTACATTAATGGCAGTTCAATTCATGATATAAAAATTAAAACAGTCTAAATACCCGATAATATAGCGATAAGTATTATGGTACGGCCACACAATGGAATGTCATGTAATCATTAACATTTTAAATAAGTTGTATGTAAAATTTTATTTTTTTTAAATGACACCAATAAAAATATAAAAAATACAGAAAAGCATGAAGAACATAAAGATAACCAAAGATCCTCTCAAAGAAACCCACTAATAACATTTTTGTATACATCCAATGTTTTCCCCATGGAAATATCTGTATAAATATAAATAGAATCTTACCCCCATAGAGTTCTATATCTTGTACTTTTAACACCATAAGTATATTTTTATTATAACATTCTTGGAAAATATAAGTTTTAATGACTGCATAAGATTACATCATGTAGATGAACCATAATTTATATGACTTTTCCCCTATTTAGGGGGGAGGGCAGCATAGAAATATTATAATAAATATCTTAAACATTTATCTGTGTACGTGTTCTAATGTGGTTCAGAATGCTTAGCCCAGACCCACCACTTTCTGGAGAAACCTATTTGAACATCAGCCCTTACAACCATGTTATATGCCTTATCACTTCATCCCTGGGCATGTCTGAGAGCACCAGAGTGAACATCTGATACAAAGCAGGCCAATCCAAAGGCTTACCGGTAGCCTATAGTTTGGCCTGGTCTCAGACTTGTCAGGAGGTAGTAGTTATAAGTTGAGCCAATCATCTTCCCCTACTCAGAAATCTAAACAGAGACCCAGAAGTTACAAGTTAGTGATGGGCCATAAAATTGAAAACAGTATATTCAAGGATGTGGTGGCAATTATAAGCATGCACAGAGTGAGTAAACAGGAGGTCAGTCTGTAGAGAAGAGAGGAATAACCAAAGAGAAACAAAAGTTCTTGAAAGAGTAGCCTCCTTGTCTAATGGCTTTCTATGGCAAATTCTCATATTGAAGCTTCTGTCCTAGTGTTTTCTTTTTCTTTTTTGGTGAGATTTTAAAACATAATGTTATATAACTCAATTTTTATATGATATAACTTAAGTGGATCTCTGTTCTTTGCAAATAGAACTACCCTAATAACACAACAATGTAAAGCAATTATACTCCATTAAAGATGTTTAAAAAAAAAATGAAGTACCCTAATAGAGTGTTACTCTATTTCCACAGGATATACACTAGATATGAAATCACTATAGGACAAAGAATAATAACAATTTTAAGGCTTATAATTGGCCAAATAGCTTTACTAAAGCATGTCAATTTACCCTCAACATAAGTAGTGTATAAGTATCAATCATTCTGTACTCTCAGTAAAAATAGCTATTACAGACCTGTCTCCTTGCATGGCCTTGCAATAAACCTTTCTCTGCTCAAAAAAAAAAAAAAAAATAGCTATTACAATTTTTGTTAATGATAGTGGTATTTTCATTGCTTTAATCTGTTGACGTCCTTTGCCATTTTTTAAAGTTGGTATCCATCTCTTGTATTAACTTATAAAAGTTCATAACTATCCTAATCAGGGCAAATATTTTCCCTGTTGTCTTGACTTCCGTATGTTCTTAACCTATAGTTTAAATTTTTTTAATGTCAAATTCCTAGGTATTTTTTCTGAGTTCTTCCATTTCATCAAACTCTCAAAAAATGCGTGTGTGTTTTCAACCATGGAAAAACCCACTTTGGTGAATTTTAAACATTTTATGTTTAAAATGGTAGAACCTCCTCTAAAAGAAAAAAAAGAAAGAAATCTTGTGCTAATCTTGAACGTGAATCAGAAAAGATGGAGGGGGTTAACTTGTGGCTTTGTTTTTGATGAACCAGCCTTCATGAAACCATATGGAGGTTCATGGAACACAGCTTGAAAACCTGTGCTTTAATCAATATATATTAGATCAGTATATATGATATAGGTCATGAGACGAAAGCCTAATTTTATTTTTCACGAAAGAGTTAAATAATTTTCTCAGCACCATTTACTGAATAATCCTTCTCTACATAAATCTTTTATCATATGTATTTAAGCATATCTACTTAATGTTTTATATATATATATGTAATCCATATACTGGTTTATTTTTAAGCTATTTAGTAATAACTGAGCATCCTGAACATTTTTTCAAATGTACAATCAAGTTCTCAATATTTTAACTTCAATATATCATTTATTATATGTTAGGGCAATCTCATTAATCGTTCTTATAATTATCTTTGTTCTTCTCCAATATCTATTTTTCTTAAAAGACTTTAGAATACTTTTTTCAATTTCACATCTCATTGGGATTTTGATGAGATTGGAAATAAATCTATAAATTAAGAACATCCGCTCTATACAAGTCCCTTTATTTTCAATTAAATGTTTTGTTTTTCATTATTTTCATTCTATATTTTTGCTATTTGTTCCTTTTAAAGAAATTTTAGTATTTCAAACCCTCTTTTGCACCCATTGTATTTTTCTGATTATTACAAGAGTTTAGGAAACTTGGTTTTTATATTATTACCCACCTTAATGGGTTTAATCAGTTCATTTAAAATTAACCTTTAAAAGTATATTGTAGGCATGCTTTTGTTTGCCTAATAAACATTTGCCTATTCTTTTATATCAATAAATCAATATTGAGCAATCAATCAATTGAAAGTTGGTCAATTGACCAATATCATTTTGCTTTAATCTTTTCTGTTGTAATAGCATATAAGTAACATTTTAATTCAATCAAGGGTTTTCAAAACTTTTTAAGGGGAGATTTAACCTATTTTGATAAATTTGATTTCCTCTCACCTTGATCCATGTTCTCCAATTTTTTAGATCATCTTCATGTTGTTTTTGTTTTCTGTCTTTTGCTATAGGCACTGAATATTCTTTGCTTTTATCTTCTCTGTTTTGAAAGAAATATGTTTTTAGTTATTTTAGTTGCAATTTCTAACTTTGTAAAAAAATATTTAGACCTTTATTTCTAGAGTTGTTAAAGTCAAGAAGAAAGTGTAATGAATCCATGCTATTTAAGGTCAGAGATGTAGCACACTTTCTTTTGCTGTCCTTCCCTCATTTGGTAGCCAAATTTAGCAAATAAAAACACAGGGTGCTGTTAAGTTTGAATTTATATGAACAAATAATTTGTTAGTATAAGTTCCATGCAATATTTGGGACATACTTAATACTAAAAAATTATCATTGTATATCTGAAAATCATACCTAACTGGGTGTCCTGGATTTTATCTGATAACCCTACTTTCCCATCCAGACTTTAAGATATAATGCTTTTATACTCAACATTTGTATATTAAATATTTTCTTGTACAACTATTTAATAGTTTTGAAGTTTTGTAAACAAATTAACAATTATTCAAGACTTAACTGCATGTTTAACTGATTTTAGTGTTTACCAGTTCTTTTACACTATGACTTCCACATTCTTGAGCTCTCTTTAAGAAAGGTACATATTTGATATGTTTTCTGTTTTCTTATCTAATTTGTTACCTACAAACGTTAAAAGACAATTTAGTTGATAAGATAAACTATGGGCGATAACATTTTTCAGCCTCACAATTCTGAAGGTGTTATTCTGTTGTCTTTTGACAATTACTGTTGCAGAGGTCTTTATCCATTTTCCCTCTTTGGTTTTTTTAGAAAACCAGAATTTTTCCACACCTCCTAGTGTCTGAACCTATGAATAAATGTGGAAAACTGGGAAGGGGAATGGGTGAGAGTGTATTATGGTAACCTCATAGTGCAGCACCCCTGCAAAAAAAGGCTGGTTCTTGAGTTTTCTGGGTGACAGAAATAACATCTCTAAGATACCCTATCTTGGATAAGGGTCATACATTGTTTTCCGAATTTACTGGCCCTTTAGTTAGTTCTTCAACATTTGAGAACTTGCTGTCTACCAGTTTGAGTTTCAAGTTTTGTGTGTTTTCATTTTTTTTCTGTAGCTTCTTAGGGACTTTACAGGTGAGTCAAGATGCTATTTCATTTATAGCTAGCCAATTTCAATTCAAACCAAAATATAAGAAAATGTTTTGAAGTCAGTGAAAATATAAAATTGAACATACAATATGACTTCATGCACATGAAAATGCACAGGAAAAAAGGCTTAGAATGAAACAGGATGAAAAGTTTTCTTCTTGACTCTTCTATATATTTTATAATGACTATGCATAATATTTATTGTAGAAAAAGAAAATACATTTTAATTTAAAATATCCTCCTAAGGATCTCCTCTTGAAGCAAATGATTTTTAGTAGGAATTAGGGGAAACAATAAATGTTGCTTGGGATTATTTGGGTTATTTACAGAATTTTCTTCCCAGCAGCATTTACTGGGCTTAAGGTGAAGCTTTGATTAAAGCTGTTATAACTAAATGAACAGAATTATAAGGTTTTTCTTCTGCGATTACTGTGAAGATGTGAATTCTGATCGAACCCCTTATAATACTCATGGCATTTATGAATCTTTTCTCCCATGTGGACTCTTTGATGAATTCGAAGAGCTGAGCTATGGCTGAAACCCTTACCACACTTAGCACATTGATAAGGCTTCTCTCCTGTGTGGACCCTCTGATGAATGTGAAGATTTGAGCTGTGACTAAAGCCCTTTCCACAGTCATCACATTTATAGGGTTTTTCTCCTGTGTGGACTCTCTGATGAATGAGAAGATGAGAACGCTGACTGAAGCCCTTCCCACACTGTTCACATTTATAGGGTTTCTCTCCAGTATGTACTCTTTGGTGAGTGTGAAGTTTGGAACTCTTGCTGAAGCCCTTCCCACATTCATGACAAGTATAGGGCTTCTCCCCTGTATGGACCCTCTGATGAATGCGAAGATCTGAGCTGTGACTAAAGTCCTTCCCACAGTCGTCACATTTGTAAGGCTTCTCTCCTGTATGCACCCTCTGATGGATTTGAAGATTTGAGCGCTGGGTAAAGCCCTTACCACAGTCATCACATTTATAGGACTTTGCTCCTGTGTGGACTAACTGATGGATTCGAAGATTTGAACTCTGACTGAAGCCCTTACCACACTCATCACACTTATATGGTTTTTCTCCTGTGTGGACTCTCTGATGAACATGAAGTACTGAACTCCGACTAAAACTCTTACCACACTGATCACACTTAAAAGGCTTCTCTCCTATGTGAAGTCTCTGGTGAATATGAAGTAATGAATTTCTACTGAGGTCCTTATCACACTGCAGTCTATAGAGTTTCTCTTCTGTGTGGACTCTTTGATGACAGTGAAGACTGGAGATCTGACTGAAGCTCTTACTACACACATTACATATATAAGGTATCTCCCCTGGGTGGACTCTCTGATGAAAGTGAACACCGAAGCTCTGACTAAAATTACTGGCACCTTCATTACATCTGTACGGCTTCTTACCTATGTGGATTCTTGGATGTCTGTATAGGTCTGATCTCTGAGTGAAGCATGCTGTGCTGATGGAGCATGGATACAACTTTTCTCCAAGTTGATTTCTCTTGTGAACACACTGTGAGTTCCAATAATAACTTTCTTTACATTTATCATATCCACAGTATTTCTCTTCCACAGAGCCTTTCAGCAGGTCATTTTGGCATATCTCCCCAATGTACTCTGGAAGGGCTTCCTCTCCTGGGATATAAGAATGCAGACCTATGAGCTTCTGTTCTCTTTCCACAGAGAGATTTTTCCTGGATATGACAACGTGGTATCTGCGTCCTTGAAAACCACGTGAATCACTCACATAGATTTCTCTACCATTGTCTTCAGTGTGTTTTGTTTCTAAGGATTGACAAGGTATAAACTTCGTATATTTTAAGTTCCTGGGAATTTTACCTTCAAAAGTCAGTTCATAGTTCCCAAACCCTGGTCCTTGTGTGAAGAGTATTAACCATTCTTGAGCGTGAGAAAGGTGTTGCTGCTTTAGGTCTTTGGAATCTATACCTTGAACTATTTCCACATAGTTCTGATTATCATATATCTGAGTGCTGGCATTCCTCCAGCCTTGCCAGCAGGAAAGATGTTCATGTTCAAAATATCTGAATCTTTCTTCTTGGAGTCTGTAGCTCTCTTTCCAGTTTCCTAGAAAAATAAGCAGATAACCCAGTGGTAAGATGAAAGCTGTGCTTAAAAATTTCCAAGTATCTCAATCAACAAGCTCCAGAATTACAGGAATATATGTGTGGGTGCAAGTGGGAAAGAAGTGTTATGACTTAGGCTGCTCCATATTTGGGTGTGGAATTCATTTGTTTTTTCATTCATAGATGTATTCATTCATTCAACAAACATATCTTGAGCACCTACTACTTACCAGGTACTGTTAGAAATAAAAGAGAAAGCCTGACTGGTTTAATGGAAATAGTCTTAAAGACTGAGATTTAATTCGATTACTCTATTTGGGACATTATTATAAGAAATAAAATATTGTTTCTATTTTTCTGTTCTAAAATAGTATAGTAGATTGTGGGAAAAAATTCTCTACTTTATCTACATCTTTGGGTGCTCCCCTTACACAGTGACTCTAGGCTCGGCTATATAATTTGCTTTGGCCACTGGGACAAAAGTGAGACAAGCAGAGATTCGCAAAGTGCTTGTGCATTGGGGCTTGGCCTCTCTTGCTGGTTTTGAAAGTCCTGTGATCACCACCATGTAAATGAGCCTGGGCTGGCCTCCTTGAAGAGAGACATGTGGTCAATACATGCCTGTTATAACACTGATACTGACCAACTGCCATTCAGGCTGTCCAGCTTCATCTTAGACCATCCAGCCCCAATCAAGTCACTCAATGACAGAAGATCCATCTAACCAACTAGAATCATGAAAAATAACACAGTCTGTTTTAAGTCACTAAGTTTGGGGTAGTTTGTTATACAGCAAAAGCTAACTTACAAATAGAACATGAAGAGAGAACAAATTGAGGACTGCACAAAATTATGGGCAGAAATCTGTGCTTTAAGTGTAATCTAGAAAATAAATAAGAATCACAAATACCTATTAATTACATAGCCAAAATGTTTTGGAAGATATCTTGCTTTCTTTACCTTCTACTTCTTATGTGATTTAAGAACCATTTTTGAGAATCGTTCTTCTACCTCAATATAGCACCCTAATAACCAAAATACTTAACAAAACTGGTCCCAGCCAGATGGCTTCACAGGTGAATTCTACCAAACATTTAGAGAAGAGCTAACACCTATCCTTCTCAAACTCTTCCAAAATATAGCAGAGGGAGGAACACTCCCAAATTCATTCTACAAGGCCAACATCACCTTGATACCAAAACCAGACAAGGATGTCACAAAGAAAGAAAACTACAGGCCAATATCACTGAGGAACATAGATGCAAAAGTCCTCAACAAAATACTAGCAAACAGAATCCAACAGCACATTAAAAGGACCATACACCATGATCAAGTGGGGTTTATTCCAGGAATGCAAGGATTCTTCAATATACACAAATCAATCAATGTGATAAACCATATTAACAAATTGAAGGAGAAAAACCATATGATCATCTCAATAGATGCAGAGAAAGCTTTTGACAAAATTCAACACCCATTTATGATAAAAACCCTGCAGAAAGTAGGCATAGAGGGAACTTTCCTCAACATAATAAAGGCCATATATGACAAACCCACAGCCAACATCGTTCTCAATGGTGAAAAACTGAAAGCATTTCCACTAAGATCAGGAATAAGACAAGGTTGCCCACTCTCACCACTATTATTCAATATAGTTTTGGAAGTTTTAGCCACAGCAATCAGAGAAGAAAAGGAAATAAAAGGAATCCAAATCACAAAAGAAGAAGTAAAGCTGTCACTGTTTGCAGATGACATGATACTATACATAGAGAATCCTAAAGATGCTACCAGAAAACTACTAGAGCTAATCAATGAATTTGGTAAAGTAGCAGGATACAAAATTGATGCACAGAAATCTCTTGCATTCCTATACACTAATGAAAAATCTGAAAGTGAAATTAAGAAAACACTCCCATTTACCATTGCAACAAAAATAATAAAATATCTAGGAATAAACCTACTTAAGGAGACAAAAGACCTGTATGCAGAAAATTATAAGACACTGATGAAAGAAATTAAAGATGATACAAATAGATGGAGAGATATACCATGTTCTTGGATTGGACGAGTCAACATTGTGAAAATGAATCTACTACCCAAAGCAATCTACAGATTCAATGCAATCCCTGTCAAACTACCAATGGCATTTTTCACAGAACTAGAACAAAAAATTTCACAATTTGTATGGAAACACAAAAGACCCCGAATAGCCAAAGCAATCTTGAGAATGAAAAATGGAGCTGGAGGCATCAGGCTTCCTGACTTCAGACTATACTACAAAGCTACAGTAATCAAGACAGTATGGTACTGGCACAAAAACAAAGATAGATCAATGGAACAGGATAGAAAGCTCAGAGATAAACCCACGCACATATGGTCACCTTATCTTTGATAAAGGAGGCAGGAATGTACAGTGGAGAAAGGACAGCCTCTTCAATAAGTGGTGCTGGGAAAACTGGACAGGTACATGTAAAAGTATGAGATTAGATCACTCCCTAACACCATACACAAAAATAAGCTCAAAATGGATTAAAGACCTAAATGTAAGGCCAGAAACTATCAAACTCTTAGAGGAAAACATAGGCAGAACACTCTGTGACATAAATCACAGCAAGATCCTTTTTGACCCACCTCTTAGAGAAATGAAAATAAAAACAAAAATAAACAAATGGAACCTAATGAAACTTCAAAGCTTTTGCACAGCAAAGGAAACCATAAGACGAAAAGACAACCCTCAGAATGGGAGAAAATATTTGCAAATGAAGCAACTGACAAAGGATTAATCTCCAAAATTTACAAGCAGCTCATGCAGCTCAATAACAAAAAAACAAACAACCCAATCCAAAAATGGGCAGAAGACCTAAACAGACATTTCTCCAAAGAAGATATACAGACTGCCAACAAACACATGAAAGAATGCTCAACATCATTAATCATTAGAGAAATGCAAATCAAAATTACAATGATATATCATCTCACACCAGTCAGAATGGCCATCATCAAAAAATCTAGAAACAATAAATGCTGGAGAGGGTGTGGAGAAAAGGGAACCCTCCTGCACTGCTGGTGGGAATGTGAATTGGTACAGCCACTATGGAGAACAGTATGGAGGTTCCTTAAAAAACTACAAACAGAACTACCGTATGACCCAGCAATCCCACTACTGGGCATATGAGAAAACCATAATTCAGAAAGAGTCATGTACCAAAATGTTCATTGCAGCACTATTTACGATAGCCCGGAGATTGAGACAACCTAAGCGCCCATCATCAGATGCATGGATAAAGAAGATGTGGCACATATATACAATGGAATATTACTCAGCCATAAAAAGAAACGAAATTGAGCTATTTGTAATGAGGTGGATAGACCTAGAGTCTGTCATAGAGTGAAGTAAGTCAGAAAGAGAACGACAAATACTGTATGCTAACACATATATATGGAATTTAAGGAAAAAAACGTCATGAAGAACCTAGGGGTAAGACAGGAATAAAGACACAGACCCACTGGAAAATGGACTTGAGGATATGGGGAGAGGGAAGGGTGAGCTGTGACAAAGCGAGAGAGAGGCATGGACATATATACACTACCAAACGTAAGGCAGATAGCTAGTGGGAAGCAGCCGCATAGCACAGGGAGATCAGCTCGGTGCTTTGTGACCACCTGGAGGGGTGGAATAGGGAGGGTGGGAGGGAGGGAGACGCAAGAGAGAAGAGATATGGGAACATATGTATATGTATAACTGATTCACTTTGCTATAAAGCAGAAACTAACACACCGTTGTAAAGCAATTATACCCCAATAAAGATGTTAAAAAAAAAAACTGGTCCCAGGATAAACTAACCTTATTCCCTAAGAGTCGGGATAATTTACCTACTGACATGACATTTGTGTAGTTCTCCCACATGACCTCTCTGTAGAGCTTTTTTTGAGAAGAATCCAAGAATTTCCACTCCTCCCAAGTAAAATTAACAGTCACATCTTCAAATGTTACTGCCATCTGGTCGAAGATCAGGCTTTCCAGGAAGAAGAAATCTAAGTGAGAAGATGGACAAAGAAAAAGACATTCAGCAGGTAACATAAGTGGTAAACCAAAAAGAAAAAGAAGTAACTCCAATAATGAAGAAAAACAAGAAAGGTAAGAGGAGACATAATAAGAGGTCAAGTACTTAAATAATGTATCCAATCATTGAACACCATCACCATCATAAGAAACATTTATATAGCATTTGTCTGCTAACCACTGAGCCAAGTAAGTACTCTTCACATATACTTCAAGTAATCCTCACAGCAATCCTATGTTGTAGATACTATTATTATCCTCATTTTACACATTAGTAATAATGGTTGAAAAAGATTAATTCCCAAGATCATGGACCTGGAGGTACTGCAGCTAGGACCCAGGTCTACATACTCTGGACCAGAACTATTTGCCAACTGTAACAATATTGCTTCATGTTGCTTATATTATTGCTTCATGGTTGATCACTTTAGACTGTTTACTTCCCACTGTGAGATGAGGAATTAGATTACCACCCGTAGCATTAGCACTAATTTTCTGGTTAAATCAATAAGCAGTACTTATATAATTTTGAATATGATTATATACCATTTTTTTGTGGGGGGGAAATTACCTGTTTAATTTTTATTTAATAAATTTACTGTCCTCAATTTTTTGATTTTTCAGAAGGCTTTATATAATCTATTTCATCAAGTGTCTCATCCCCTCACCCACCCCTTTTATTTTGGAAAAGTCCATCATCCTGCCCCAGTCAGGGCCGGCTCCTCGTTAGTGCTCCATTTCAAGTTCATATGACTCTTCTTCTTTTGTGATTTTACACCATTAATTGGGAGGCACATAACAACATGAGTTCAATCAAGCCTGTGAATGTTAAGCCTGTGGCCATTGAAGAAAGCAAAGGTGAGAAACAGGCGAGGTTTTCTTCAAAGGAGAATGTCCAAACACGGTTACTAGGAAAGATTCCCAAGAATCATTTGAATCACTGTATGCCTTAAGTCTTTATTACTATCCCTCATAGTGGCTCATAAGAATTCGAGAGTGAAAAGAATTTTTCTCAAAACTGCTTCACTGTTTATAAGCTTTTAGTGTTGCTAAGACTGATTTAAAGAACAAACAAACTGTAATTCCTTTGTGGGCAACTTTTTCTTTCCTCTCTGGAAATATTTTAGGGTCTTCTTTTGTGGCTGGCCCTCTGCCCCAAATGGTGTATGGACTTGAGCCTCTCCAAAGTTCACAGGGCTCATCAGTTCCTTTCTTGTCTGTATTCCCCTGCTGAGTATTCTAGGATGTAACATCTTCAGCCCTATGTGGCTCTTACCACTATGCCTACTGTTGCCATCCAGGATTTTGTTGAAATTTCTCATTTGCTGATGGCTCTTCGGCTTCATCGTAAGTTCATAAATTTCTTGGTTTTTTACTATATCTATGCAGTTTTAGAAAGTAGAAGAGATAAATGCATGTATTCTGTCTAAAAATATTTTAGAAAGAATAAATCATAAGTTGGTTATGTGACAAATTCATTTTTCTTTGATGACACATTCTCAATTGTAAAGTTCAATTTAAAATGTTCAGTAAATACTAAGATTTAGGAATTTATTTTTAAAAATATACTAGAGATTAAGAGCCTCATTTTTTTTTTTTACTGAAAGTTCATAAAAATTATAACAATGCTGAAGTAATATAAGTAAAAATTAAGTCTACCCTCCCCAAATAATTTAAGAAATAACCACTATAGTTTTCACTGTGTCCTTACGGACCTTTTTTTCATACATACATACCCCACTAATGTTTTTTTCATAACACAGACATGATAATTCTGCAGTCTGCTTTTTTTACATAATATGTAGTATACAACTTCCCGTTTCAGTACATATAGGCCTATGTTATTCGTGGTGATTTTAAAATATGTCCAGAAATTATTTGATACCTTTCCCTTCAAAAGGAGGAGCCTAATTCCCCACCCCTTGAATGTGGCCTGGGTTAGGGACTTACTTCTGATGAACAGGAAAAAAAAGCAGAAGGGGAAGCAATGGTGTGCAGCTTTCAAGACTAGCTCATAAAAGGCACTGCAGCTTCCTCCATGCTTTTTTTCTTGGATCAGTCACCCTAGGAGAAGCTACCTAACACACTGTATGAATAGTTAGGCAGCCCTGTAGAAAGGCCCATGTGGTGAGGAACTGAGGCCTTCTGTCCTCAGTAAGAAATGAGGCATCTACCAACAGCCATGTGAGTGAACCATCTTAGAAGTGGATCCTCCAGCCCCAGTGAAGGCTTCCAATGAACTGTAGTCCTGCTGACAGCTTGACTGCAACCTCGTGTGAAACCCTGAGCCAGAACCACACTGCTATACTGTTCCTAGATTCCTGACCCTTAGAAACTGAGATAATAAATGTTTGTTGTTTTAAGCTGCTACATATAATTTATTATGCAGAAATAGATGGTTGATGTATTGTTGTAAAAGTTGCATAGCATTTCATGTTATGATGTTCCAAAATTTAACTGTTCCCATACTGATGAAGATTATTTCCAGTTTTCTGGCTATCATAATACAGCAGTGAACAACTCTCTTAAGTACATCATTGAACACTCGTAATATTTCTAGAAGATACATTTCCAGAATTAGAACCACCAGGCATGTGCATTTCAGTTTACTAAAAAACACTGTAAAACTTTGAAAATATTTTTAAAAATTTGTTAAAAATATTCTCCCCCACTAGAAAGTTAAAAGCGGAATACCTACATTCAAAATTAGTAAGTACAAGTCTATAGAGGAAAAAAATTATAGAAAGCATAAATTAAGATGGCAAGTAAAATTATTAATAGACAAAAGGATACTAAAACAGTTTTAAAATATAGAGGCATATTGCTTAGAAGACACTCCAAACTACTGAACTCTAGAAGATTAAAAATGAAAAGACAGGCTAATCTATAACAGAAAAATATAGACAAAAATAAAGTAGGGGCTTCCGTAGTGGCGCAGTGGTTGGAAGTCCGCCTGCCGATTCAGGGGACGCGGGTTCGTGCCCCGGTCCAGGAAGATCCCACATGCCGCAGAGCGGCTGGGCCCGTGAGCCATGGCCGCAGAGCCTGCGCGTCCGGAGCCTGTTGCTCCGCAACGGGAGAGACCGCAGCAGTGAGAGGCCCGCGTACCGGAAAATAAATAAATAAATAAAGTAGGTTTTGCAATATTAATATTACATAAGGTAAAATCAAAGGAAAAAGTATTACCCGAGATTAACAGAGTAATTTTATGAGAAATGAAATTATTGCTCTTGGTGTACCACCCACCAGAATTAAGATTTTGTCAGAATTGCTCCAACACTGTATATCAGAGGGTGGGGGGTGAGAGAAGATGGGGACCATATGATAGCAAAAATAACAGTAATTATAGTAAATGTGAATAGCTTAATCTCACAGATTAAAAGACACAGATTTGTAGGTTAAAAAAATGAGATTCAACATGTGGTTTAGAAGAGACACACTAAAAAGAAAAAAAACATGGGAATAAAAGGACGGAACAACATATTCCACACAAATATGAACCAAAAGAAAGCTGTAATGACAAACTTAACTTCAGCTGAGATAAAATTTATGGCAAAAAGTTTGTAACTATGTGTGGTGATGGATGTTAACTAGACATATTGTGGTGATCATTTTACAATATATACAAATATAGAATCATGTTGTGTACCTGAAACTAATATGTCAGTTATATCCCAATAAAAAATTTATGGCAAAAATATAAGGGACAAAAACACAGTTTTTTTCTGTATTAATAAATAGTAAGACCAAAAAATATCCATTATAATTAAACTGCACCCACAAATAAAATTTCAAAATGTATTAACAACTATCGTAAGTTCAAGGAGATATAATATATACACCATTGATTGTAATTATAGATATTTATACACTCCTCTCAGAAAAGGATAGATCAAGTAAAACCAAAGAACTCAACAATATAAACACTAAACAGTACAATTAATACTCGAGTTATTTTTTCTGTGTTGAATTCTATACTCCCAAAACACTAAATACACATTATTTTCATGAACCCACAATACTGTTACAAGATTGACCATGTATTGGTCTATAAAAGGAATCTCAATAAATTCCAAATTATCAACATAATGCAGAATACATTCTCTAGATACAAGGTAATAAAATTAGGAACTACTAACAATGGAATTTAAAAATCCACACTTCTGGAACCCAAGTAACATATTAAATAGCCCTTAAATTTAAAAGGAAAATATAATGATAATTAAGAAAATTTGAATTGAATAATAATAATTACACATCAAAATTTTCAAGACCCAGATAAATAAGTACTAAAAGGAAATAAGAATGGCTACATATAATCAACCTAAGCATTCAACTCAGGAACTCAGAAAACAAAAACCCTCCCCCTCTAAAAACAAAGAGCAAACTTCAAAAAAGAAGGATAAAGCTGAAAGTCAAAGGGGCAATAAACAAATAGATGATGTGGAAATGCATAAGGCCAAAAGATGCTCTTAAAAATTTAATGTCAAAAAAAAATTTAATAAGTCAGATCTCTGCAAGTCTAATTTTGTTTTGAAAAGATGATTATAAACAAAATACTGGACAAAATGAGTAAATAACCACAGACATACGACTTAAAATAATACAAGAGCATTATGAACTATATGCAAATACACTTGAACATCTATATAAAAGGACAAATTCCTAGTACACAATGCCAATAGAAAATGCCAAAATAGATTTTAAGAGTAATATAAAATTACATACCAGTAAGTATTAAAGGAAACTGAAATGGCAGCCAAGATTCTTTCTCCCTCCCCCAAAATCAAAGGCCCAAAGAGTTTTACAGTTGAGTTCTCGCAAATGTTCAATTAACAGTTAATTACTATTATAATCAAATTGTTTTAGAAAATAGAAAGTGAAACTTACTAGCTCTTTATATGGCCAGTGTAATATTGATTACAAGACCTGATAAGAACAATACAAAAGAAAACTATAGGCCCATTTTTAA